CCATTTTACAGACATGAAAAAGAGACTAAAAGAGAGGTAGAGTGAGAAGAGAGAAAAAGAGAGAAAGCTGATCACTTGTCTGAAGTCACTCAGCTGGGGAGTGGTACACCCCAAATGGTGACCTGGAGCCAATTAACCCCAAGAGTCCTGCGCTTAACAGTTATGCTGAACTGCCTGCTAAAGTTCACCTGTGGGTTAAATGAACCAATGCACTTAATAGTGCGTGGCATATTTTGAGTATTTCTCAAATGTTAATTATTAAAACAAGAGCTGAATAGAATCCAAATCCTAGACCATAACAAATCTGAGGTGAAAGAGGATTACTCAGTATCATCCAGGGCCAAGTTGAAAGCTCAGGCATGCCCAGTCTCAGAGAATCTGCACACAAAAAGTTCTCAGAGCAAGACAGAGGTTCCCTGAAGTGTCAGAAATCATTTAGGTATACAGGAGTTACCTTCTGCAGCGTGGGAACAGACTAGAAGGTAGAAAAGCAAGGAAAAACTGGAGAAAGTCCCAGAACACAGAGAAGGGAGTTGCCAAGGCCACAGGGTGCTCTTCTGCCCATCAGTTGCTGCTGGGGATGCAGCAGCCGTGTGACTTCAGAGTTGAGAAAATGATGGCCTGAGGAGCCAGGAGTCTCCCAACAACACAGATCCAGTATCCAAATGCGCATGCAGGCCATTCCATCTGACTAGGAAAGAGCAGGAAGCTTAGATCTAAATAGGGTCCATACTCCTGGTGCTTGGGTTTTGTGTGATGCTAAATAATGTCATCATCTCATTCCATAATGTTGTCTCATTCTTTTCTTATCCTTCCCCATGCCTGAGAGGTCAGGAGACTTATCACTTTGGTTTCCCACTAGATCTTGGCTAGGAATCACAAATGGCCAGTGTTAAGCATGCAAACATTAGTCAAATGAGTCACATGGAAAAATGGTACGAGAATAAAGACAAATATATTAGAGACTAGAAATGGAAAATCTGAGTTGGCTCTTTTTTTTTTTTTTCTGGTCCTGGTGCATGAACTCAGGGCTTGGGTGCTGTCCCTGATCTTCTTTTGCCCAAAGCTGCACTCAACCACTTGAGCCACAGCATCATTTCCAGCTTTTTTAAAGTGGTTTATTGGAGATAAAAGACTTTTCTGCCCAGGTTGGCTTTGAACCACTATCCTCAGATCTCAGTGTCCTGAGTGGCTAGGATTACAGGTGTGAACCATCAGTACCAGGCCTTAGTAAACTTTTAAGATGGAAAACAGGGCTGCAAAGAAGTTTCCCAAATCAGATAAGGGCATTAAACTCTCTATAGAGATTAAAATGTAGAAATCCAAGTTCATACTTTTTAATATTGGGGATATGTGAGAGAAAAACTCTGAATCTTGGAAGACACTACACAATGTTTTACTGTTTCCTTTTCACTTCTATTATTATTTTAATGCTTATTTTCATTTCTTTATGAGCCAGAACTGAAGGCAAAGTGAATGATGAGGAAAAAATGCTTTGCATATCCCAGCGTAAATACAGACGTAGGTTAACCACAACTTTGGATCTGCATTGTTGGGGTGTTTTGTTTGTTTTGTTTTTATTTTGTTTTGTGACAAGATATTGATATGTAGCCCAGGTTGTCATTAAATTCATGACCCACTTCCTTCATCTTTCACAGTTCTGGGATAACAAATGTGAAGCACCTGACCCAGCCACATTGCTGATCTGTTAGTAGTCTGCTCTGTACTCTCAAGAGGGATTTTTCCTGGATTTTTTTTAAACCTAATAAATTAGATAAAATGTACATAGCAGAATGTTTCCACTGCTGGACAATCATCATCACTATCTATCTATATAACTCTTTCATTGGCCCACACTGAAAACACTATACCCATTTAGCACTAATTGTTTTCCTATACCAGCCCCTGACTACTATCATTTTATTTTCTGTCTCTATAATTTAATTATGCTAGGACATATAATATTTATCCTTTATATTTTGTTTATTTCATTTGCATAATGTCTTCAAGATTCACTCATGTTGTAGCCTGAGTCAAGAATTTCTTTTTAAGACAAAACAATGTTCCAATGCCTGGCATACACTACATTATTTATTTATCTATTGACGATGGATGGACATTTGGATTGTTTTCATCTTTGTGAATAATGTTACTGGGAATATGGAGTATACACATACCAGTTCAAGCCCTGCTTTTAATTCTTTTGGGTATATAGCTAGAAGTGGAATTGTTGGATCAAATGAAAATTCTATGTGCAAGTTTTTGACAAGCTGTCCTCGACAATATTTTTCCCCTGTTAAATTTCCATCCATTTGAATCGTACCATACATTTGAACAGTTTATTTTACCTCTTTAGTGTACCAGCTTACATTCAGCTTCAATAACCTCTCTTTTGTTTATTCCCTCTTTCCTTTACTAGGGTTATTTAGAAGCATGATCTTATGTTCCATAGCATTGGTTTATTTCCAAAACATAAACATTAGGCTTCACTCTTTGGAACAAATTACTGTTTCCAAAATCATAAGGTAAGTTAGTTAAATGGATAAGACTGACTTAAAAATTTTCTCAAACTGGAAAATATAGATTAATGGATAAATATCTAGATATAAAAATTGAACCAGGAAGATATAAACCACTTAATGAGATCTATTATACGCAATTTGATTGAAGCAATAACAAAGACTCTCCCATCAAAGAAAACCCCAGGACCTGATGGATTCATTGCCAAATTCTATCAGACCTTTAAAGAAGAACCCTAGTACTCTTCAAATTCTCCCATAAAATACAAAAGGAATAAATGCTATGGAACTCACTCTATGAAGCAAATAATATATATAGACACACACATAAAGAGAATTATAGACAAATCTCTGTCATGAACTTTGATGCAAAAATTCTCAATTGTTGCAAATCAAATTCAACAACACACTAAAAAGCTCATACACCATAATTCAGTTTATTTCAAACCAGGGATGCAAGAATGGTTTAACATATGTAAATCAATGAATGTAGTGTGTAGTAAACAGGACTAAGAACCCAAAGTTACATAACTATCTGAATTGATGCAGAAAGAAAACCTTTGGCAAAATTCAAATGTTCTTTTATGTAAAATCTGAAGAAACTAGGAATAGGAGGAATGTACCTGAACTTAATAATAATGTATATATATATGTATATATATACATATTATATATATATGTATATATATACACACACACACACATATATAAAGGTCCATTCCTGGATGGCGAGCAGACCCCGCCCAGTACCTGTGTTACCTAGGCAACTGGAACACCTGGAAGAGGTCACATCTGCATCCGCTGAGGTCACATCTGGATCTGATATGGCCACACCTTTCTCCCACCTAGTCCCACTTCCCTTTACCTGGACACACCTTTCCCCACCCATACCCTATATAAGGCCTAACCCAGGGCCAGACGCTCTCTTTGCCAGCCGCATGGAGTGCCAACCTGGCCTGGTCCCAGCAGGTCTACTGAATAAACCTACCCCTTACCTGAATACCATGTGCGTGGTGCTGTTCTTACTCTACCTCTTTTTAAAAAACCTAACACATATATGTGTATATGACAAACAAAACGAATGTCATATTAAATGGAAAAAGCTGAAATTATTTTCTCTTAAGTCAATAACATGACAAGTGTGTCCATTCTCTCCACTCTTATTCAATGTAGTACTGGCATTCTTAGCCACAGCAATAAGACAGGAGAAAGAAAATAGATCCAAATGGGGAAAGAAAGAACTTGTGTCAAATTATATCTACTTGCAGATGATATGGTCTTAAATTTAACAGACCCTACAGACTCCACTAAAAAAATTCTAGATCTGATAAACACCTTCAGAAACATAACAAGTTATGAAACCAATGGTCAACAATTAGAAGATTTTAACTACACCAAAAATGAATGGTTAAATTAAGATGTCTCGGTTAAATGAGAGAGAGCAGAGGAAGGGATGGGAAGGGAGGGACTAAAGGTCAATAATGTATGCCTAGTACTTAACTGTAAAGAACACAGGCTCTGTTCCATCTTACAGATCTAGTTTCCCTATAATTCCATCCTATGCTAATTAGTGTTGGTATTGGGGTTTGTACTCAGGACCAGGGCATTGTTCCCTACCTTTTTTGCTCAAAACTGTGTGAGCCACAATTCCACTTCTGAATTTTTTTTCTTGGAAGGGAAGGAGGAAAGAAGTCGGTGCCAATCCTGGGGCTTGAACTTAGAGCCTGAGCTTTTATTGCTTAAGGCTGGTACCACTTGAGCCACAGTTCCACTTCTGGCTTTTTGGTGAGTCTCATGGACTTTCCTGTCCAGGCTGGCTTCGAACTGTGACCCTCTGACCTTAGCCTCTTGAGTAACTAGGGTTACAGGCGTAAGCCGGGCTCGTGTCTTTTCTTTAATTTTTAAATTTTATTTATTTATATTTCTTTAAACCTTTTAAGCCTTGGTCAAGTAGCAATGAGGCAACAGAGCAAACACCCTGACTCTCACCCTGGCAAGGTGCAGGGTAAGGTCTTCAGGGCATCCAGAGGGCCGAGCACGAGGCCACACGGATAAATAAGCACCCATCCTGTAAAGTCAAGGGAGGCCACAGGCCGGGTGGCGCCGGGGCTGGGAGCCCAGCGTCCCCGCCAGCCGGTGCCAGGCCAGGCCAGGGGGACCACCGTGCCTGGGAAGGAGCGCGCCCAGCCGCCGGCCCGTCGCGCCTGACCGCAGCAGAGGGAGGGACGCCTCCTGGCCAGCTGTGGGCATCGCGGTGGATGGGAGAGGCGGCGGAGCTCCCCCGGGGACAGGCGGCTGGCGGCGCCCGGGGCAGGAGGGCAGCGGAGGACAAGCGCGCGTTGCCCGGGGAGGCGGAGCGGAGCCCGCAGGGCGCACGCGCATGCGCACGGGCGCCGCCACCGGCCGGAAGAGCAGCGCGGCCGAGCGGCTGCAGACAGCGCGCGAGCGCGGGGAGAGCGCGGGGAGTGCGCGGGCCGCGACATGGGGCCCCCGGAGAGCGCCGGGGACGCGGCCGACTTGGAGGAGTCGGGGCTGCCGCTGACGGACTACGCGCCGCCCCGGGAGGCGGACGGCGAGCGGGTGGACGCCGAGGCGGCGGACGCCCCCGGGAGCCGCAGGTGCTGGCTCTGCCGTTCCTTGCGGTGCGGCTCGAGCTCGGAGCCCGGTGAGTGCGCGGTGCGGGGAGTTAGTGGGGGTGAGTGCTCGGTGCGGGGAGTGCGCGGTGCGGGGAGTGCGGTGTCGAGAGTTAGCGGGGTGAGTGAGCGATACTGGGAATGCGCGGTGCGGGGAGTGCGCGGTGCGGGGAGTGCGCGGTGCGGAGTGTTCGCGGGGGTGAGTGATCGGTGCGGGGAGTGCGGTGCGGAGTGTTCGCGGGGGTGAGTGCTCGGTGCGGGGAGTGCTCGGTGCGGGCGGTGCTCGGTGCGGGGAGTGCTCGGTGCGGGGTTGCGCGGTGCCGGGGAATGCGCTGTGCGGACCCCGCGCGGGTCTCACCTGGGGCGATCGGGGACGGGGTGCGTGGAGTGGGAGGGGATGTCTCTTCCACCGGGGTGCAGTGCCCACCGCGCCTTCATCCCTCAGTGGGTGCCAGGACGGGGGGTGGGGGGGGAAAGTTTGTTCCAGAATTTGCCACCCTTCTGGGAGTCTTGAATCTGCTTGGGTAACCGGTGGTGTGCGGGACCGGGCAGCCACGTGGTGAAGGTGGGAGGTCACCGGAGAGGCCAGGCCCGGGTTAAGGAAGACCCTTAACCCTGGAAACGCATCTGGGTGGTTCCACCTGAGAAGGTTGAGCACAGCACGGATTCCTTAGAAAAAGTGTGTGTCCCGGCGTCTTAGAATCTTGGAGAGGCACCGGAGTGCCAGCCCTGGTTCATCAAGCTGGGGAGCTACTTTGGGGTTCTTCAACATTTTAGAAACTGATTGAAAAACAAGGTGGCCGGGACTTCCGTGCCCCATCCCCAAAGCCTGGAACCTCTCCTCTGACCAAGAGGCAAAGTGAGGCTCAGGGCGTTTCTATAACTTTTTTTTTCTTCTTACCTCTCTCAAAAACTGCCTCCCGTGGGCATGGGTGAGACCGAGCAGGTCTGGGCAGCACCTGGGGAAAGGATCCCAGCTTGCCAGAGACCCAACTCCAGGGCACTTTCTACTGGAGCAGCTTCCTAAAAGGAAGGCTGTGGAGATCTACGTACTCATGTAACTGTAACCCCTCTGTACAGTATCTTTACGATTAAATATAGAGAGAGAGAGAGAGAGGAGAGAAAGAGAAACAGAGAGACAAAAGAGAGACAAAGTGCTGTATTTGCACAATCATTCCTGGGTCTCTTGAGAAGGTCACTTTTTACCTTCTTACTCTAGGGTGGAAGGGAATGTCCTTGCAAATGTCCTTTGGGCATCTACAGGAAAACTGTACACTAGGATGGGACTTGGCAAAATGACAAACCTGGGTGAGCAAGTGAAACTAAGAACCAGTGTCTTTTAAATTCAAAGTTGTTGTTTTTTGTTTTGTTTTGTTTTTGGTCATGGGGCTTGAACTCTGGGCCTGGGGCACTGTCCCTCAGCTCTTCAGCTCAAGATGAAAGCTGTACCACTTGAGCCACAGCGCCACTTCCAGTTTTCTGAGTGGTTTATTGAGATAAGAGTCTCATGGACTTTCCTGCCTAGGGTGGCTTTGAACACTGATCCTCAGGTCTCAGCCTCCTGAGTAGCTAGAATTACAGGCGTGAGCCACCGAAGCCCAGCTCAAGATGTTTTTAAATGGTCATCAGATAACATTCTGGGGGGGGGGGGGAAACCGACTATAAAAACATTTTGAACTTCTGTTCTCATTGAACATTTTGGTAATCCCATTTTACTTTAGTTTTGTTGTTGTTGTTTTAATGTAGCCCACTCTGGCCTTGAACTCAGATTCCTCCTGCTTCATCCTGCTTCAGCCTCCCAAGTGCTAGCACTCTTGATTTAAGTGGATGATCTAAACAAAGCTCCATTTAAAATTTAGCTTGGAACTGTTATCCTTTTCTTACATTCTGGGATGATCTTAACAGTGTACAGCTTTCATAATGCATTTATTTGGTCTCTTCAGGAACACTGTGGATCTTAGACTGAAGCAAGAAGTGACATCCTTGTTCCTTCCAGTCTGCTACTGGGAGTGGACTCTGTAGTCTAGCAGTGGTCTTTAAATTAATAGAACTTTCACAAGCCATACATACAGCTTCTGTGGGGTACAACTTGGACAGTGAATTTGTTGTACGTTCCTCAGGTGATTCTAAATTCCAGCCGTATTTATGAATCACCAGCTTTAAAAAGTAGAGGATAAAGAAACATGTTAAAAAAATTGTTCTTTGCAAAAAGCTAATGGCGGCCACTTACTTAATTTGAATTATTTAGAGGCACCATGTGGTTAGATACAAACATGGAGATGCCTTACACTGACAGATACCTCTGTGTTATCCCACTTCCTTGCTCATCTCCACAGAGAAGGTGACATTATTTTTAAAGGCTGAAATTTCCTTGAAAAGAACCATCCTTGCCCTCATTAATAAGTAATAAAGGTCAGCTAGACCCCCTAACATACATCCTGTTCTAATCAGGAAAGATGAGCTTTAAGTATTTACAGGCACATACAAAAAAGATTGTGTGTGTGTGTGTCTGTGTGTGTGTGTCTGTGTAAATGTTTGCTTTAAAGGAAAGGATCATCATAGCCAAAGATATCAAATTATGTTTTAAAAGAATTAAAATGTTGTGTTGAGTTGAAAATATTTCTGGAAAAAAAACATAAAAATGAGTTTAGATGGGAGGAGATCCTTGAATTAATAGACAAGAAGATGTTTTCTGTCTTCGATCTTCCCTGTTCTGTCTGAGGGTGGAGGTTCTGTATATGAATTGGGCTTTTCCTAAGAACAATTATTGTATTTGGACACGAATTCTGAAATTTCAGAAGCCAGATTCTGAGGCCAACCACAGCCAAGGCCTGTATTTTGTGGTTCTTCACTTGGAAGTCTTACAAAGCTACGTTCTCATGGCCTCAGTAGCCATGTGCTATTTGCTTCTACAGCGTTTGAGCACCTGGACACAGGACAGGATGTGGAGAGTTCTGGCACCTGGTATGGAGTGAGTGCTGGCTGTGCGGCAGCCTCTCCAGCTGATACTGATAGAGCAGGAAAAGGGGATACCCTTGATGAGAGTGGCATCTGCAAAGGTCAGGCTATACACTCTGTCCAGGAAGACCTGATTAGCACACTTGGGTCGCAGTTTGTAGTCACTTATGGGCAAAGGTACCTAAACAACAGGAGGATGTTGAAATGTATTACCTGATGTAACATTTATCAAAGGGGGGGGGACCTCCAGAATTATGCAATACCATTCTGTAGTTGAGAAGCACATTTGTACATTCCTGGATTGGAGCAGCAGTCTTAGTTTTCCAGCAAATTGTATGTGTCCATCCCTCCTGCAGCTCTGTGATTCTCTGAACCCGCAGAGCCGGTTGTGTTGTCTTCTTTTCTAACTGATTTTGTGCAAGTTTGGGAAAAGAGAAGGGAGAAAAAGCATATATTTATTCTTTAGTGTGTGGCTGTGTTTTCAGAGAGCTCTCCGCTTACTCTCTCCCATTTTTCTTCCCTCTCAATAACAGAGGATTAAGTTTGATAGCACGTTCCTACTTGCATGAGAGAACGGAGGAAAAGGCTGAGCAAAAGCTCCATGCCCACACAGGTTATCATTGATGGGTTGAATAGTTGAGGGCCTGGAGAAAGCACTGTTTTCCTGGTTCATATCAAATCAAGAAGTAAGGATAAGATGCAGATCCATGCAAGGAATTTAGGAGTCAGATTGCTGCAGAGCCCTGCTCTCCACTGGGAAGATGTGTTGTGAGCCATGAAAAGTGAAGTCAAGATTTGATTCACAGCATGATTTCACCACCGAGAACCTTCTCAGATTGTGTTGGTGCCAGTAACATTAGGGCCTTGAGTCTCTCTGTGAATTTCTCTCATCTATTTTCATTTACCAAGTATTCACTCAAGGTCTCCTAGGTGCCTGCCATGAACAAAGACAGGTGAAACTCCAGCCCTGAAGGAACTCAGAGTCAACAAATGACCAGGTCACACAGTTAGTTATAAATTACAAAAAGAAAAATTTTAAAAAGGACAGCTTTCTTCAGGAAACCAGATTTTCCAGTGAGATGTATCTTTGGGAAGTAGTTTCTTTGTGTGTGTTAATACTGGGGCTTGAGCTTGAACTCTTGCTTGGCTTTTTGCTCAAGGCTGGTATTGTGCCACTGAAGCTCCAGCTCTAATTCCAGCCTTTTACTGGTTAATTGGAGAGATGAGTCTCTCAGATTTATCTGCCTGATCTCATTTTAAACCATGATCTTCAGATCTCAGCCTCCTGAGTAACTGGGATTATCAATGTGAGCCACTGGTGCCTGGTCAGGAAGTATTTTTTTCTATAAGTATTTCATAAAAATTTCTTTCACCATTTTGGCAAGCTTCCTCCTGCTTGACTTGTGAGGGATAATTCTTCAGTAAGCTGAAAAGGAAATCTGCTGTATAGGGTGAAATAGCATTTTTTAAGTGCAAGTTTAAATTGTCCTTGTCTATGGCCTTTATCTTTACTAGGAGAAATAGACACTGTCCAGACAAGGGATATACTCATAATCTGCCAGCCACTGCTACCGTCCCACTGTTTCTCTCGGTTTCTAAGTGAAAGTTATGAAACATGCACTTGGAAACAAGGACTAACCAGAATTTAATCTTTTTCAGAAGCCAAGAAGAAAGCACCCTGTCCTGGACTTGGCTTGTTTTACACATTATTGTCTGCCTTCCTTTTCTCAGTGGCCTCTTTATTTGTTAAAAAAGTGCAAGACGTCCATGCTGTAGAAATTAGTGCATTTCGATGTGTGTTCCAAATGCTAGTTATTATCCCTTGCTTAATATACAGAAAGTAAGTATTTCTTAACTACGAAGTAGAAGACATAAATAAATGTGTGCAAATCTTTTGAACTGCCTTAATTATTTTTGCTTTGTGATATCATGGTTTACCATAGAACTTACCAGTTTCAGAGCCCTTGGCTCTGATTAATGAACAGTCCCAAGGTTGTAGTCCCAAGGAAAGTTTTAACCATCAGCACATATCACATACCCTCCAAAGAACAAGAAAGAGGTTTAGTTATTTGCTACTCCTTTTATGAGAGCCAAGTTTTCCCCTTAGCTTGTACCATTTTTCTCTACTTTTTTGACATGACTAGTATTGGGAAGAAAAAAGTAAATGAAAGGAAATAGTGCATGTAGTGTCAGAGATTTAGGTGGACCAGGCAGCTCTCATTAGGGTGGAGAGATAGAGGTAAGATTCAGATTCAGATTTTTTTGTTGTCATTGTTGCTGGTGCTAGGGTGTGAACCCAGGTGCTGTTCCTTAGTTGTTTCAGTACTCCAGGCTGCTACTCTACCATTTGAGCCACAGTTCCACTTTCAACTTTTTGGTGATTAATTGAAGATCTGAATCTCATGTACTTTTCTGCCTGGGCTGGCTTTCCCTCAGCTGGCTTTGAAGCATGCCTTCAGATCTCAGCCTTCTTAATAGCTAGGATTACAAGTATGAGCTTCTGGCTCTCAACTTTGAGGTCTTTTTGATTACTTTGCATACTCAATTTTCTCCTCTGTTAACTGGAGACAGTGGTACACTTTGGACTCTTGGCCTACCGTATGATTGCAGGGGTCAAATAAGAATTATTCAGAGTGCGTTGTTAAAATGTAAAAAACATATGAACACCACCTTTATTCTCCCCTCACCTTTCTCCCCTAGCCCTACCCTTCTTTTCTTTCCTTATGGAATTCACCATTCTACCTGGTTTATAACTATGCCTCTCTCTACTATCATAATCCCCACGCCACTGTACTTTGAATCCTTGAAGGGAGACCAGTTGAGCCCCTAGCGGCTGTCTTACTCTTTCTTTGGGCATAGATACTTAACCCCTAAATTAAAAGTTTCAGTTTCCTGGGCACTGGTGGTTCGTGTCTACAACCCTATCTACTCAGGAGGTTGAGATCTGAGGATTGTGGTTCAAAGCCAGCCTGGGCAAGAAAGTCCATGAGACTCTTTCCCTGGGCAGGAAAGACCCAGGATTCTTATCTCCAATTAATCTCTAGATAATAGAAAGTAGAGCTGTGCCTCAAAGTGGTAGAGCAGTAGCCTTGAGACAAAAAGCTCAGGGACAGTACCCAGGCCCTGAGCTCAAAATAAAAAGTTTTGGCCAGGCACAGATGGCTCACGCCTGTAATCCTAGCTACGAGGATTATGGTTAAAAGCCTGCCCCAGTAGGAAACTCCATGAGCCTCTTATCTCCAATAAACTACTCAGAAAAAGCCAGAAGTGGTCCTATGACTCAAGTGGTAGAGCCCTAGCCTTGAGCACAGAAAGATTCAGGGACAGAGTGCAGGCCCTGAGTTCAAGCCCCAGGACTGGCAACAAAAAAGAAAAGAAAGAAGTTTCAGTTGCTTGTCACCAAAGTCTCCAAGTGTCTCATAACATAATTCAGACTCACACAGAATAGTTTTAAACCCTTATCCTGAGGAATTGGTAGAAAAAATTAAAATCTGCTAAGATTGTCAGAAATTCTCCTTAAGTGTGAACAGGTCCTAGCACTTTAGGAGAGCCTGGTGAGACTTGAGAAATTCCTCCAGTGGCAACAGAGCACTGAGGCTAATAGAACCATCTTCCCCATTATGGAAGAAAATTATGGTCAAAGAGTCCTTTGTCCTAATCTGTTTTGATACCTAACTTGCCAACACAGATCCAAAGGTAGCCTGTCTGCCTTTCCTTTTCTTTCTTTTCTTCCTCTCTCTCTCTTTCTCTCTATTGTTTTTTTGTACCTGTCCTAAGGCTTGAACTCAGAGCCTGGGTGCTTGTCCCTGAGCTTTTTTGCTCAAAGCTAGTACTCTACCACTTGAGCCACAGCTCCACTTCCAGCTTTTTTGGAGATAAGAGTTTCACAGACTTTGCTGCATGGGTTGGCTTGGAACCTGATCCTCAGATCTCAGGCATGAGCCACTGGTGCCTGGCTGTACTTTTATTTCTAATCCACACATCAAGGGTCTCTGTGTTGGGCCCAGATGATATCATAATGAAAGCCCAGCACAAATCAGAGCTGTACCTGAGAATTTACAGAGTAGGTATTTAATAAATACGTAGTTGAAAAAAATTAAAAGCAATGATTACACTTTTTGAACCACTTCATATTCATCTCTGTGTATTTTAATTTTCTCCTCATGAGAACGTTGAAAACAGTTCTCACATTCAGTGATGAAAGTTAACTTTATAACCTTGCTTTAGCTTTTATAGAGCAGCTCAGAACATTCAGAACTTTCTGCACATTAGCCAGGATCAACTTTCCTCATACAGCACTGCTAAATCTTGAAATTGTATTTACTATAAAAATAACACATTGTCATCATAGAAAACCTGGGGGAAGTAAAAAGGAAAATTATCTCCCTATTAAAGTAAAACTACTCTTAACATCTAGTCTGTTTTCCTTTTTTCCCCCAAACATACTACCTATACATATGGAGAATTATGTGTTTATTTACTAATTTACAATTATGTGGGTTTTTGCTCATACTCTGAACACTTAAAATGACATTAGCAATACTATCCTGAGAAAATATTTTTAAAAGGTATGTAATACTCAGATGACAATGTTATAATTAATTTATTCCCATTTTTTACATTTAGAACTTTTGAAGTATTGTTTAATTAAATATTTTTGATGTATAAGCAAATACTAAGTTGGTTTAACATGCCTTTCTTCATTTGCATTTACAGGACTGGTTTTATAGGCCCCAAAGGTCAGCGACTTTTCCTCCTTCTCAGAGGAATACTTGGTTCTACTGCCATGATCCTTATGTACTATGCTTTCCAGACAACATCCCTCGCAGATGCCACAGTCATCGCCTTTAGCTGTCCAGTGTTTACATCGCTATTTGCTTGCCTATTTCTCAAGGAAAAGTATAGCCTTTGGGATGCTTTCTTCATCTTGTTCACCATCACTGGAGTGATCCTTATTGTGAGGCCACCATTTTTGTTTGGTTCCATTACTACAGCGGTGGAAAAAAACTACTCCGACCACCTTAAAGGGACATTTGCAGCCATTGGACACGCTGTGCTGGCAGCGATGACTCTAGTTATCCTGAGGAAAATGGGAAAATCTGTGGACTACTTTCTCAGCATTTGGTATTATGTCATCCTTGGCCTTCTTGAAAGCACAGTTGTCCTCTTTATAACTGGGGAGTGGAGTCTGCCTAACTGTGGGTTGGACAGGTTGTTTCTCATACTCATTGGGCTCCTAGGTTTGGGGGGTCAGATATTTATCACAAAAGCAGTCCAAATAGAAAAAGCAGGACCTGTAGCAATGATGAAGACAATGGATGTGGTCTTCGCTTTCATCTTTCAGATTATTTTCTTCAATGATGTGCCCACCTGGTGGACAGTGGGTGGTGCTCTATGTGTAGTAGCCAGTAGTACTGGAGCAGTCCTTCGTAAGTGGTTACAGAGTTCCAAATGAATCATCTTGGTTGAGATCTAGAGATTTTTTTCCAAGTACACCATCATTCAGTTTAGACACACACACATGCACCTGAAAAGTCTGCATTTATTCATTGATGTTTAAGTAATTGTATAAACTACCATTTTTTAATATGGTATGTGTTCAATTAGAAGAATAACCAGTCTGTTTGATCTAGAAAATGTTTTGGGTAGCTTTTGTTTTTGCTTTGGTTTTCTTTTTATGTTGTGAGGCATAAGCAAGGGAAGTGCTCATCTGAAGACTGCAACATTTTTATGACTTTAAATGTATTTTTAAATGTACCTAACTTTAAATGTATTTTTGTTACAGATGAGATATGGGTACAGGAATTTTTTTTTTTTGGTCGGTCATGGGGCTTGAACTCTGAAGCTGAGCGCTGTCCCTCAGCTCTTCAGCTCAAGGCTGGTAGTGCTCTGCTATTTGAGCCACAGCTCTACTTCTGGCTTTTTGGTAGTTAATTGGAGATAAGACTCTCTCAAAGACTTTCCTGCCTGTGCTAATTTTGAACCACAGTCCTTCAGATCTCAGCCTCACAAGTAGCTAGGATTACTGGCATAAGCCAAAGTGTCTGGGTTTTTGTTTGTTTTTTGAGACAGCATCTCCTTATGTAGCCCTGGTTGGCCTTGAACTCATAATCCTGCCTCAGTCTCCAAAGAGCTGGAAATATAGGCATGCACTACCACACACAACTTAAGATACTTTTTTAGTAGTGTAGAACCTAAGAAACCTACTGAAAATGCTGCTATAATTAGTATTATGTTAACTGTTCATTTGCAACCTAATTCAGTGTAGTATGCCAAAGCTGAAACTTGGTATAGGTGCCTACTTACTGCTGTTTATTAACTTATTGATATATTACTATACAAATGAATCAGCCTTATTTTTAAGGATTTTATAAATGATTAACATACTTTTAACTCATATTTGTGCCTTTTCATTTTAATGCTGGAATTTTTATGAGTAACCTGTTGAGACAGTTTTTAAATTGCCATATTTTGTGTTTTAATTTTTTTTGTTTCAATGGTATTGACAATGGAAGCCTTTTTGTAATTTGAATACTCTATTATACTGAAACTGCATTTTTTTTAACATTCCAAGATTTCCAATTTTTAAAACAGGATAGAAATCTTGGCATGATCAGTGTGCATATTTTCATCCTGAAGTGTTTGCCTCACTTAAATGTGATTTTCTATAAATTTTTAGTGAATTTGTAGTGTGATGCCAAATAATTTTCTCAGGATTTTTATTAGGTTGAAACATAGGAAATTGCCAAAATTTGTTACCACGTTCACTTCTAAAACTCATAGTTCCACAAGGTATCTCCCTCATCCACTAAATCACTTACAGAACTTTGGATTCTTTTTAAAATAACTTTTTTAAAGTACAGTTCTGCTGTTAAACCTACTACAGTCTTTTTTTTTGTAATAAAACACATTTTTATGTTAAATGTGAAGATTTGTTAATTCACAGTTGACTTTCATAGTTTTTTGTGTAGGAAAAAAAATATGGTAACTTCTAATATTTCAGCATGGTTTTGCTGACAGTCAAGATCCACCATGATGCTAAGATCATGAACTGAGACAATATGTTCTGTAACTGGAGCATTGTCAGGCCAATACTCTAGTGAGAGACTGTGGAACCTAGGAAAGAATGGAAGATTAGTCTGGACATGGGGCATGCATTCTTCTGGTTCTTGGTCATAGTGAACCCTTTATTAATGCGGCCATAATGGCCTCTAACTATATGTCAGACACAACATCTGTCATTATTTTAATCTGCAGAGTTGAAAAGCTATAGCCTCTTTCTCACCCTATTCAAAGGAATTGCCTTAAGGGACTTATGCCTTGGTGAGAAAGGATTGTTTCCAGTTGTTTCAAGGAGGAACTTAAGGTTTGCTGGCTTGACTAATGCTGACCACCTGACAAATCCTAAATAAAAGCTATTTACATGAGTCATGCCAATCACACTTATAACCTAACTTCGAGTGTGGGAATACAGACTCATAAAAGCAACATTCTGCAGGTATCTTAGGTAATTGTAGAATCAAGAGCAGTTTAGAGCTCACACGTATCTTAGAAATCATCTCATAGGAGCTCTGCTATAGATAGGGATGGCAGGGAGGAGACCTGCCCTGCCCAATCTGGTTCCATGGTAAAATATAGAAAGGTAGCTAGTCCTACAACTATGTAAGGTGGCTTAACTCTAATTTTCTCCTCTGCTCAATCAAAGAATCTCTGGAACATTAGAAGTTAAATCCCTTTGGACCTGTGTATGAATAATATATGTTTTATATCAACAATGTGGCATAAGTACTTGAATGTCACAATATATGACTAAAGGTGGAGAAAATGTTTCTTTTCCCAACCTTTACAGGGTATGATTCTTAAGTACCTATAATAGACAAGATATATACAAGGCTATGTATTATAACCATGATGGTGTATATATTTTGCAAAGACTGTAGTTTCTATATCTTGAGAAGAAAATATTTTCATAACTTGTTTTATAAGTAGTAATAAAATCCTGTTTTAAAAAAAAAGCTGTGTTGGTTTCTCTGTTGGTGGAAAAGCCTTAATCTAATGCAACTTCCTTTTTCAGCCATGTGTTTCAAAATTCATTTTATATAAGAGATTGACAGCTAGCCATTTAGCTGAGTTATAATCTCAAGTTTCATATTGTCTCCAGAATAAAAGCATTAGGGTCTGGGAAGGTGGCTCAGTGGTAAAGTGCTTGCCTTGCATGCATGAGGGCCTTAGTTCAATTCCTCAGCACCACATAAGCAAAAAGAAAAAAGCCGAAAGTGGCGCTGTGGCTCAAGTGGTAGAGCGCTAGCCTTGAGCTAAAGAGCTGAGGGACAGTGCCCAAGCCCTGAGTTCAGGCCCCATGACCGGACCCAAAAAAAAAGATACACAAAATAAAAGCATTAAGTGGTTCCCAAGAAGCCTCCATCTTTCCAAAGAAGCCTCTCACATCCAGGGATTAGGGGCAGCTTTAAACTTTGTACTTTTTGTTCTGGTACCTAATGTGTTATTAAACCTCGAACTATCTTCTTCCTGTCTAGTGGCTCCATTGTTTTCTCACCATTTCCACTGCTGCCATTTTAGTTTAAAACTTACTATCTCACATGTGGCTTCTTACAACTCTCTTCTAATTAGAGTATCTTCTAGGCTCTCTTACTCATATGTTAGCACCACATTAATCCTCCCAAAGCCCTGCTTAAATTTTTTTATTGCTACTTTAAAGGTGATGTACAGAGGGGTTACCATTTCATAGCTCAGGTAATGAGCACATTTCTTTTTAGACAGTGTTACCCCTTCCCTTGTTGTCTCCCAGTTTTTCCTCCTGTTCCCACCCACAAATTGTGCAGTTCATTTTCAACATAGTTGTAGCTACTGAATGCCACTGCTGCATTTATTCCCCCGATGCCACTCTATTTCGTGCTCCCCCTTTACCTCCCAAAGGTATAAAAATGAACAAATAAGCTAAGCACTGGTGGCTCATGCCTGTAATCCTAGCCACCCAGGAGGCTGGGATCTGAGGATTGCAGTTCAAAGCCAGCCCAGGCAGTAAAGTCTGTGAGACTCTTACTTCCAAAAGCCTACTCAGAAAAAGCTGGAAGCGCTGCTTTGGTTCAAGTGGTAGAACACTAGCCTTGAGTACAGAGAGACTTGGGGACAGAGGCCAGGCCCTGAATTCAAGCCCCAGCACTGGCAAAAAATAAAAAATGAATAAACAAGAAAGAAAAAAAAAGCCCCCAAAACTGTGTTTCTATTCCCTGGAGTTTCATTTTGATAGATATTTTATATGATCAGAGGCACTGTTGTGTTCTACCCCTAAGAGTCCTTCCAGATTATTCTCCAACCCAGTTACCCACATCTCAACATAAATTGGATACTTGGGGCAGCCTTCCCATTCTCACACTTGTTAGGACATTCCTTTTTCTTCCCTGTCTTCCTCCGGATAGCTTTTTGGCCCTGTGAAGCCTGTTAGCCTTCAGTGACTCAGCTGTAGAGTTTGTTTCTTCTCTAGCTTCTCACCTAGCAGTCCACAATGAATATAGCATGTGGTTTCAGTGTGGTTTTGTCACTTTCCAGCTAAGCTAATCACTTATACCTGAGCTATTTTATTTTTCATTTGTTAAGTAGAATGTTATTTGCCCAACTCATCCTACAAATGAGTGCCATAGACCTGTAGGCTAAAAAAGACACAAAATCCATTTGGTATTAAACTACTACTATTTATTGTAGAGTTCACTCTCAATCTCTCAGGGCCCTTATTCCTGCGCAGCCTCACTCAGGACTAGGGGATCTTTCAGAGTGCAAACTCCACTCCTGCCACTCCCCCACACTTCTCCCATCCCCGGGCACAAACACAGGACTTGCTGGGCAGGTAAGCCTAGATACTAACCCAAGCATGCTTCTAAGTGGCTTTTTGGTTCCTTCCATCAAAGGTAATACAGTTTCCATATTTGTCTAGGATTTTTCAAGATCACTACCAGGTAACGTCAGTGATTCACAAAGATCCTTCCATGTTTTAGGTTATTTGAAAACTAAAATTGAAACTAAACTTGGAAAACTTTGTAGAGAAACCATGAACCTTGGCAATGCCCATTCTCTAGAAATTGGGGGTGGGACTTTATGGTGGGAGGGTGAAGAGCAGGTATGTCTGCTATCAGAACAGAACAGGGAGGTTGTGCCACAGCTGCCCGGTCCACAGGACAAGGTTCTACTGAGTTCAGAAACAAAAGAGCCGGGATCTTTTCTACTAAGCTTCCAGGACTCTGGTAATCATCCAGGATTAATCCCAGTAAGCCTAGTCATGGAGCAAAGGAAGTAGCCTGTATCAGTAAGATACAAGGTTAAGAAAACAAAATCACACTTCAGCAGAGATAAGCATAGGAGGAGAAAAGGTGTACAGGGTGTGCCAGGCAATATCAATATACTGCACTAAGGTCAGGAACATGATGGTGTCAGCAGCTGGAAACTTCCAGCCACAAAGCTTGTTTCTGAGTCTAAATACTTGACCTTTCTTACAGATTTTCTAGGTATTCTTGTTTTTTGTTTTTTGGTTATGGGGCCTGAACTCTGGGCTTAGGCACTGTCCCTCATCTCTTCAGCTCAAGGCGAGTGCTCTACCGCTTGAGCCACAGCACCGCTGCTGGTTTTCTGGTGGTTTATTGGAGATAAGAGTCTCATGGACTTTACTTCCTGGGCTTGCTTTGAATCATGATGCTTGGATCTCAGCCTCTTGAGTAGCTAGGATTACAGGCATGAACC